GTTGGGAAGAAACCTCAGCGTAGGGGAAATAGGCCATTTAGCCTAGGGAGGAAGTTGCAGGATTGGTATATGGGCGACTCCTAGCCTTACTTTTTCTTTAAGATATCCAGATATGTCCTGGATTACTTAGACCCCTCGGATTGAGGAGTACGGCTACGTCGTGATCTAACTGTTTTTAGCTATAGCTTTGGTCAGGGAGACCGCATTTGTTCTTGTGTGACACCAGTGACGGTTTGAGTTGAGATTATTCAACTCCGAGTGTATATATGTAATTCGAAACATTTGACCCACGTTTGAGTTGGGGTATTGTACCCCTGCGTATATATTGAGTTGAGGCCTTATCCGAGACTGTCTTTTGTATATAACGATCACAATCACTCTCACATGTGTGGACTTTATCCTGATGAATGGTGATTTTGTGTGGATTTTGTGAGAATAAATGGATGTGAACTGTCTACTCTTCGGTATACTCGTGCGGCCTGCCTATAGGCAGGACAGGGCCGAGTATAAGGAGAGGGAGTGCAGTCTGTCATTGTGAAAGTGTGAAAATCCTAAGGGATTCTGTGAATCTTTGAGGCTCGAGTACTTACCATGTCGGATGTTTTATGGTTAAGTTGTGAAAGGGGCCCATAAGCAGACCCCTCAGTGGAGTTGGTTCGTGGTTGAGTTGTGGAGAGAGCCCATAAGTAGGCCTTTCAATTTGAGTTGTTCTGTGATTGACACCCCTTCATATTAAGGAAGGAGGTAATATTAGTTATCGGAAGACTCACCCCCAAAAAAAACCAGGGTGTTATAAAAAGGGTCGTGTGATAGCTCATCCTAGGAAGAGAGGGATGGCTGGGAGACCTATTGAGAGAGACCTCCTTCATGGGAAAGGTGGTTAGTGGATTTGAGGGCATGATAAGCAGTGTTTGAGTTGATAAAGTCCGACGAAAAGGGACCACGTTTGCTTGAGATGTTTGAGAAAGTCACAAAAGAGTGCAGGGCGAGAGACGTCTCAGGATGAGTGGCTGCTGGCTCTGCTCAAGTCAGGGGTCGTGGCCTTGTGGACCTAGCGGATTTTGTTTGTGGTTGTGCGAAGGATGCCATGCCTTTCGTGGGAGAGCTGGTAAATGCCTTCAGACCCCTGCGTAATCTCGCAGTGGGCCCGTGATGGGTTTTGCGACACTCCGTCTAACCACTTGTGCTAGTTCTGGGACATATTAGGGGAATACCAAGCTAAGCGGTAAAGATTAGCACCTCTAGGGCGTAACCCCAGTGGATGGTTCTTAGCCGATGCAACCGGGCTGCGGGACCGCGGAGTAAGAGTTTAAGGGGGGTTGTTCGCCCCAAGGAAATTACTCCGTGGGGGAGTAAAGGTTGAGAATTTTTGAGAAATCCTGATTGAATGCTTATCAGGAGAAAACCTATCGTTGCGTAGCCAACGAGGGTACTGCCGCTAAAATAACAATGCGGTGGGCCGTAGCCCTGGTCCGATCAGCCAGGCTATGGTGGGACAAGATGAAGACCTAACCTTTCTGTACTAGACTGCAGAAAGAGCCGAGTGAATATTAAATATACAAATATACGTATGTGTATTTGATTGCGAGAGATTCTGTAAGAAGGAAGGCGAGAATGCCTTCAAAAGTCTCGGTTAGGGCCCGCGTCCCTAGTTTTGGTCAGGACTAGGGACAACCAACGAGCAGCCGAAGGTTGTCTAGGACCGGGGAAAGGATGATTGGGAAGTTCTTTGAAACTTATGTTGTTAACGTCCTAATGCCGGGGCGGCAAGAGCCCGGGTTAGAAACCTGACAGCATATAGTTGTGGAGGCATGGTTTGATGGAGGCCTCTACCCTGTGTTTGTCGGCTAATCGGATTGGTTCCTCTTCGTCAACATCTTGGGTAATCTGATAGCTTTTCGATTTTGCGAAGCGACGGGGACGTCGCTTGATATGGTCCGGTAAGCTGTCGGCGCGAATACCCTTACAAGGGTATCCGCCCTGGTTTTTGCAAGTGATAGAAAACAAGTCTGACCTGGAATTGTTGAGAAGGCCGCTCGACTTCCGGCAGTGTGGTGACTATAGGTTGTCTATGAGATCTAGATGTAGAGAGTGCGTGGGCGTGCAGGGTTTGAGGCGCGCGGGATTTTTTTTTCTTTTCTTGTCGCTAATTATAAAACCGGCGCGGACGCCGGCCGGTTTAACTTTGTTTTACTTTTATTTATTTATTTTTGATTAAGCAGGATTTAGGGATATTTTCTTTTGGTTGCTACGTTTGATTGAGTCGAGCGCGCGTGCGGAGATCGACCCCGTCGACGACATTGGCAACGACGGCGCGGCTTCGTGCGGTGAGCGGGGTGTCGTAGGGTGGCGCGTGGGGCAATTATGGCACGGTATGAGCAGGCCGGCGCGGACCCTGGGAGCCGCGCAGCCGGTTTGTCGGCCCAAAGCGCAGCGCCGCACCGCCTTATATGGCACTTCGCGGATATTGGTCTCAGGCTTGGGCTTAGCCTCATTGGTTACGGCATCGGATTCGGGAGACGGAGGTTCGGGGATCGAGGCCAGAGGGCATCGCCGCGGTAACTGCAGTGGAGCGTCGCGAAAGGAACTGATGGGGTCGAGGGCCGCCAGGGCTATCCCCCTCGGTTTTGTTCGCAGGCGCGACGGTGGGCCCGATCTGCGGGGCCGTGTGGGGAATTCGCGGGATTGCTTGGAGTGCAACTGCAAACTGCTTTCGTGACTGTGCCGAAGTTGTAGCTTTTTTTATATATATACGCCCTTTCTAATTGTTTGACCACGTCCCGTGTCCCCTTGGGATGTGGTACCGTGGGTATAACTAACGCCGAGAAGCATAGCTCCGTAGGTACACCCATGAACTGTTGAAATACAGGCCCATGTTCGAAGCCAGATGATGAAACTTGAGTTGTAGAAACAGGTATTTTAAATTGCCTGGGAGCGGGGCGGGCTGACCCCGCGACCCCGGTGCTGGCCTTTGGGAAAGCCGCGGGGCATCGCCCGGGCCACGTCCTTCAGGACATCCGTTAAAAATCGGGATGATACAGAAAAGATTCGCATGACCCCTTGGCAGGGGCGATACACACATATCGGGGGAGGTCCGACCGCCGAGTGCTTTTTGCACTTTGGCACTCGGCTGTGTGTCGGACCGTGCGGTGTCGGAGGGCCGGGTGACGTCAACAGGGAGAGGGTGATGGTGAAGAGGACGGCGGATGGACTTGGACGGGGGACTGCGCCGGGTGCATGCGCGGAAGGGCTAGCAGGCAGCGAGGTAGCAGGCGCTACATAGTTGGCTGTGGTTGAAGAGTGACTTTAGCCAGAAGGGGAGTGAAGCGCTGCTGAGCGAAAAGCAGCGGGGCAGGAAGTTGGCAAATGAACCCGGGCGGGTTAGCGGGAGGTTAGTAAGGTATCAATGAGTCTGAATCTACTCGTTTTTTTTGCAAGTAGATTCATTCAAATTTGGCTTTATGCGTGCATAACTGTGGACTGAAAGTGTTCTCCCATGTTCTAGCGGGAGGTTCATTCCCGCTTTTGCTGTTTGGATGGGCAGGGAAGCGGGCCTAGCGGTGAGCCATTAGCATCTATGTTGCACGCCCGGACGCGGCCAGGGGGTCCCAGTCGGCCGCGGCCTAGGCCGATGACCGAATCCGCCCGGTTCGGCCTAGGCCGACCTGCCGAGTTCGGTGTAGCATTTTTTTTCCCCATTTTTTTCGTGTAAAAAAAAAAAAAAAAAATATGGGCGTGTAGGGCTGGAAAAGCCCTAGACGCCCATATTTTTTTTTTGGGTGTCCGACCTTCGGCGCGACACAGAAAAAAAAACAAAGAAAAAAAAAACAAAAAAAACAAAAAAAACAAAACAAAAAAAGGCCCGGCGGGCCATTTCGGCCCTGTTTTGCTGCCAGCGAGTGAGGGTCCAGGCCCAGGCCACGACAAAACTTTTGCCGTTTCAGATAAATGCTGCCATTTATCTGAAACAGCAACAGTTTTTGCTGTTGCCGTTATGCTGCCCAAATGCCTGCTCACCACTCTGTGAGTGAGAGAGAGAGAGAGAGCGAGAGAGAGAGAGAGAGAGAGAGAGAGAGAGAGAGAGAGAGAGAGAGAGAGAGAGAGAGAAAGAGAGAGAGACTAGGCCGGGGGAGAGAGAGAGAGAGGCAGGAGGAGGAGGTCAGGGGATGAGGACGCAGATTGAGA